CCTCAGCCTCCCGAGTAGCTGGGACTACAGGCATGCGCCACCATGCCTGGCTAATTTTTTCTATATATATATTAGTTGGCCAATTAATTTCTTTCTATTTTTAGTAGAGACAGGGTCTCGCTCTTGCTCAGGCTGGTTTTGAACTCCTGACCTTGAGCAATCTGCCCGCCTCAGCCTCCCAGAGTGCTAGGATTACAGGCATGAGCCACCGCGCCCGGCCATAAGCTTTACTCTTAAAGACTGTTTACAAGGTAACAAAGGAAGAAGAAAAAGGCACAAGAGTTACTTGTGTATTGATGTACACTCAGTGAATCCAAAATTCCTACAAAATGCAAGCTCAAATAGCAAAAACTCACAGAGAAGAATTACAGAATTTTTGAGACCAGGTGAAAAGGGCACATGGAAGAATGATAAAAGAATCCTGGTGAGAACTCAAACATTTAGAATACAGCCCCGAAAGACCTGGAATCTTAATACATATAAATCCATAATTAGAACTGCTTCTATTTTATGGGTGTGTGTTATATGCCAGGCATTGGGCTAAGCATTTCGCATATATCCTTTCAATTGATCCTCACAACCTGAGGCGAAAAAAGTGATCATTATTTCCCCATTACACGTGAGGAAACTGTGGTCTAGGGAGGTTAGATAACTTACCTAAAATCACACCTATGTGGCAAAGCCCGGATCTGAACTTAGTCTTTCTGCCTCCAAGGCCTGTGCACGTAAACCCCACTCTGTGCCACCATCCTGCTACGGCAATATCAGTATCTTATTTCCTGGGGCTTCCAACATTCAGTGCCTTGAGCTGCATCACTCATGATTTTGGTGAATGTCAGGAGAAGTTCTATCAGCCAAGAGTTTTGAAACCCATCACTAACCCGGTTCTAAACAATACGATGTTATAATATTAGGTATGGCTTAGTAAAATAATTGTGATAGCATGAATAGGGGAAAAGTAAAAATACACGAAAGAGAAAGGAGAAAGAGAGGGATCCTAATACCTGTCAAAATCATCCATCTTTCTTCTTCATAAGGTGGTTGTTAGAGGTTATAAGAGATAAATTGTGATGAAATACTTTAGAAAGTGCTACACCAATATATAGTTAGTAGAATAATTCTCAATATGAGTCTAAAATATTTCAAAATATAATCTTAAAAGACAGAATACTGGTCCAAATATATATTTAAGAAATTAGGATATCGGGCCCACTCTGGCAGCACATACACTAGTGGAACTAGAATGTTCCTAACACAAAGAAATAACAAATGCTTGACATGGTAGATACCCCAATTACCCTGATTTAATTATTATACATTGTATTCCTGTATCAAAACATCATGTGTCTCATAAATATATGCAACTATTATGTATCCATAATAATTAAAAATTAGGCCGGGCGCGGTGGCTCACGCCTGTAATCCTAGCACTCTGGGAGGCCGAGGCGGGCGGATTGCTCGAGGTTGGGAGTTCGAAACCATCCTGAGCGAGACCCCGTCTCTACTAAAAATAGAAAGAAATTAATTGACCAACTAAAAATATATATACAAAAAATTAGCCGGGCATGGTGGTGCATGCCTGTAGTCCCAGCTACTCAGGAGGCTGAGGCAGAAGGATTCTTGAGCCCAGGAGTTTGAGGTTGCTGTGAGCTAGGCTGACGCCACGGCACTCACTCTAGCCAGGGCAACAAAAAGTGAGACTCTGTCTCAAAAAAAAAAAAAAAAAAAAAAATTAAATATTTAAAAACAAATTAAGATATGATAAAAATTAGCATTTCAATACAGTGGAGAAATGATCATTACTAAATAAATGAAATAGGAAGACTTGAACTAGTTAACATTTGGAAAAAATAGTTACACTCCTACCTACCTCAATAGTTATGCTAACATAAATTCCAGATGGATTAAAAATGTTAATATGAAAAACAAAGCTATAAAAGTACTAGAAGAGGAATATTATACAGCTTTAGAAAAGGAAGGCAATTCTGATATATGCTGCAACATGGATGAAACCTTGAGGGCATTAAGCTAAGTGAATTAAGTCACTCACAAAAAGATAAGTACTGTCTATGGCCAGACCACCCTGACTGTCCCTGATCTTATCTGATCTCAGAAGCTAAGCAAGGTTGAGCCTGGTTAGTACTTGCATGGGAGACAAAAAGACAAATACTGTATGATTCCACCTACATGAGGTACTTAGTATAGTCAAAATTACACAGGAAAAATGCAAGCAGAATGGTGGTTTCCAGGACTAGGGAGAGGAGGACTGGGGAATGACCTGCTTAACAGGTATGAGATTTCTTTTCCAGGTGATAAAAATGTTCTGGAATTAGATAATGGCTATAGTTGCACAATCTTGTGAATGTACTAAAAGCCACTGAATCAAATACTTTAAAATAGTTTAAATGGCTAATTTGGTGTTATCTCAATTTTATCTCAATTTTTAAAAAGTACTAGAAGAAAATATAGGTCAATTAATAATGTTCATGTCTTTCTAATCATGAAATCAAAGGCAGAAACCATAAAGAATTGGTTTCTTTTTGGTTCCATAAATGACTACACAAAAATTGAAAAGATCTATTTAGGGTAAAAACAGAATTCAAAACATACAATGATATGCTGAGAAAAAATATTTGTAACACATGACAGACAATCTCTCTAATCTCTCTTTTTTCTTTTTGAGGCACGGTGGCTTTGCTATATGGGCCAGGCTGGGCCTAGTCTCAGGCGATCCTCCCACCTCAGCCTCCAGAGTAGCTTGGATTACAGCCACAAGCCACCATGCCCAGATAGACAATCTCTTATAGAACAATTTTTTTAAAGGCTAATACACACTGTAATATAAAATATTTAAAGGAATTATATAAAAAGTTCACCATGGATGAAATATAAATGGTCAGTAAATATGCTGAAAAGTTCAATCTATGCAAAATAAAACAAATTATTGTCTGCCCATCAGACAAGAAAAGTTTTTAAAAAAAAATAATGCCCAGGCCGAGCGAGGTGGCTCACACCTGCAATCCTAGCACTCTGGGAGGCCAAGGAGGGATGATGGTTTGAGCTCAGGAGTTCGAGACCAGCCTGAGCAAGAGCAAGACCCTGTCTCTACCAAAAAAACAGAAAGAAATTAGCTGGACAACTAAAAATATATAGAAAAAAATTAGCCAGGCGTGATGGTACGTGCCTGTAGTCCCAGCTACTCAGGAGGCTGAGGCAGGAGGATCGTTTTAGCCCAGGAGTTTGAGGTTGCTGGGAGCTAGGCTGACACCACAGCAATCTAGCCCAGGCAACAGAGTGAGACTCTGTCTCAAAAAAAAAAAAGAAAAGTAGTAGGTCATCTCCCAAGAAAATACACATGCATGTATATAATTTTAAGGGGTTCATGAGTGCCCTGAAGTCCATTCATGGATACATCAAGTTAGGAATCTCTGACCTACTGTCAGGATTAAAAAAGTGAAGTTATGAAATTTGTTCAAATCATTTTACAGATGCCCATTTTAAAGATACAAATATGCTAGAAATAAGTTATAGTAGCCAATTGTAAAAAATAATGATTTGTTTCCTGATTTAGTAGTAGACTGTGGCAAGCATGATGATTTTTTGAAATGGTTCTCTGAGGTCCAGAGAGCAAAACGAACCTTTGATTCTGAAGCAGAACAGCCTCCAGATGTAGGCAACTTCTCCCCAATTGGTCTGATCAGAAAATCTTGAGCAAATCGTGAATTCTTCAAGATAGCTGCTGTCTCTTCACCCACTTCAACAATTTCACCTTCCTAAAGGGTAGCATGCAAAATACATACTAAGAGATGCCACTTTAGTCTCAAGAGAAGAAAAATGCCCGTAAGGTTACTAATGAGTGGCATTTCAGGATAAAAGACCATATCTTCTGACACGGTATTCTCTCATGTTCAAACTCCGTTAGTTTCATGTTTATTTCCAGATGGAAGTGACCAGTGTCCTAATCAGTCTTTCTTTGTTGATGATGCTAAAAATGGACACTCATTGCTTCAGTGTCAAGTCTCTCCTCAGAGATAGATACAGAAACCACTGCATTCTGAGCTCCACCTTATTCATCACTACATGAGGGCTTCAGACCAAAGATAAGTGCTGGTAAGGATGTAGAGAAAAGGGAACCCTTGTTTACTGTTGGTGGGAATGTAAATTAGTATACCATTATGGAAAACAGTAGGGAGATTCCTCAAAAACTAAAAAATAAAACTACCATATGACCCAGCAATCCTACTACTGGGTATATACCCAAAGAAAATGAAGTCGGCATGTCAAAGTGATATCTGCAACCCCATATTTACTGCAGCTCTATTCACAATAGCCAAGATATGGAGTCAATCTAAGTGTCCATCAAAAAATGAATGATAAAGAAAATGTAGTGTATAAACACAATGGAATACTATTCAGCCTTAAAAAAGAAGAAAATCCTGTCATTTACAGCAAGATGGATCGAACTAGCGGTCATTGTGTTAAGAGAAATAAGCTAAGCACAGAAAGACAAATATTGCACATTCTCACTCATATGTGGGAGCTTAAAAAGTGAATCTCATGAAGATAGAGAGTAGATTTGTGGTTATCAGAGGCCAGAAGGTAGGGGGCAGGAGGATAAAGAGAAGTTGACAAATGGGTACAAACATACAGTTTTATAGAAGAAATAAAACCTAGTGTTCGAGAGATCAGTATGGTAACTATAGTTTCTGATAATCTATTAAATGTTTCACAAAAGCTAGAACAGAGGTGAGGTGTGGTGGCTCAGGTCTGTAATCCTAGCACTCTGGAAGGCCAAGGTGGGAGGATCCCTTGAGCTTAGAGTTCAAGACCAGCATGAGCAAGAGTGAGACCCATTTCTAATTTAAAAAAGAAAAAGAAAAAAGATACAGAATTTTGATGATTTATTCAAGTTTACACAAGTAATAAATAACAGAGCCAGAATTTGAACCCAGGTATCTAATCCAAAGCCTGTACTTTTCCTTTTTTTTTTAAAGACAGCATCTCACTCTGTCACTTAGGCTAGAGTACAGTGGCCCAACCATAGCTGACTGCAACCTCGAATTCCTGAGTTCAAGTGATCTTCCTGCCTCAGCCTCTTGAGTACCAGGGACTACAAGTATGCACCACCATGCTTGGCTAATCTTTTTCTCTTTTGTAAAGATGGGGTCTCGATACATTGCCCAGGCTGGTCTCAAACTCCTGGCCTCAAGGGATCCTCCCACCTCAGCCTCCCAAAGTACTGGGGTGTGAGACACCATGCTTGGCCTTACTTTTCCATTTTGACAAAACAATTTTTTTTTAGAGACAGGATCTCATTCTGTGGCCCAGGCTCGAGTGCAGTGATGCAACACAGCTTACGCAACCTCAAACTCCTGGGCTCAAGTGATCTTCCTGCCTCAGCCTCCTGAGTAGCTGGGAATAAAAGTGCACACCACCACACCTGACTAATTTTTCTATCTTTTATAGACACGGGGTCTATAAAACACGGGGTTTTATAGACACCGGTCACTATTTTGCCCAGGCTGGTCTCAAACTCCTGGCCTCAAGCAATCTTCCTAGGCCTCTCAAGTGCTGGGATTACAGGCATGAGCCACTGCACCCAGCCGACAAAACAATACTTAACATGCACAGTAGTAAAAATACCAACTAGTGTTATCATCAAACACTAAAATTTCTTAATTCCTTGATACAATTAAACAATAAAATACTGTTATGCAGTACTCTTATTCTTTCCCATCTCACTTCTCTATAATCCAGTGTCTGAATGAGGCTTCTCATAAAAAGATTTCTTAGGTGTGACAATGGTCTTGTGGTTATATAGGAGAATATTTCATTCATAGGAGATGCATGCTAAAATATTTAAGGTTAAAATGTCATAATATATGGAAGTTATTTTCAATGGTTCAGCAATTACAAGCACACAAAGATAAAAGGAAATATGGAAAAATGTTCTCAACTGCTGAAATAGATAATCGGTATGTGGGTATTCACTGTAATATTATTAATTTTTCTATATTCAAAAATAGTTTTATAATAAATAATTGGGGAAAAATGCCTTTTTACACCACTTAAAATACATACAATCAAAGTAACACCAGCAAAGTGAGAAGCAATGCAAGGCCAAGAGAAGGTACCTGAAGCAATAGCAAGAGCAGAAAGATGCCAGAAGTCATGGAAATTTTTATTTACCTTAAATGTAAAATTTGCATCAAATGTTAGGACCTTTTCGTGTCCTGTGATTCCTCAGTTGTAAATAACCTGGCATCTTTTGGATGGTCCTGTCTTAGGGCATTTGAAGAGGCGAAATGTTGCAGAAACAAAACGACAGTCACCTAAAAACAGAATTTACTCATGGTTCATCTCCAGTGATCCAACAACAGCTATTGGTTTGCTCAGAAGCTGAGGAGTAAATATATTATAAAGATGATTTTCTTTTTTGCAGTTATTTTTCTGGGCACTCCCTCTATTTACTGAATGACTTCAAAATGCTTTATTAAATACCAAACTTTTTTTTTTTTGAGACAGAGTCTCACTAGAGTGAGTGCCGTGATGTCAGCCTAGATCACAGCAACCTCAATCTCCTGGGCTCGAGCAATCGTTCTGCCTCAGCCTCCCGAGTAGCTGGAACTACAGGCATGTGCCACCATGCCTGGCTAATTTTTTGTATATATATTTTTAGGTGGTCAATTAATTTCTTTCTATTTTTGGTAGAGATGGGTTCTCACTCAGGCTGGTTTCGAACTCCTGACCTCAAGTGATCCGCCCACTTCGGCCTCCCAGAGTGCCAGGATTACAGGCGTGAGCCACCACGCCTGGCCAAAACTTTTTTTTTGAGACACAGTCTCACTCTTTTGCCTGGGCTAGAGTGCCTTGGCATCAGCCTAGCTCACAGCAACCTCAAACTCGTGGGCTCAAGCTATCTTACTGCCTCAGCCTCCCAAATAGCTGGGACTACAGGCATGCGTCACCATACCCGGCTAATTTTTTCTATATATTTTCAGTTGTCCAGCTAATTTCTTGCTATTTTTTAGTAGAAACGGGGTCTTGCTCTTGCTCAGGCTGGTCTTGAACTCCTCAGCTCAAATGATCCACCCGCCTTGGCCTCCCAGAGTGCTAAGATTACAGGTGTGAGCCACTGCGCCCGGCCTTAAATACCAAACTTTTGAGGGGTTACCATTATATAGGAGACAACATGGATATCACAAGGTGACACAAAGTCTCCCTAAATGAGACTCACTCAAAAGACATGTGCTAATCACCAAATCTGAACCATTCAGTTGCATTTATCATAGTCCCTGCTGCTGTTTCTTACCAATAACTCTTTCTAGACCAGGTGCGATGGCTCACGCCTGTAATCCTAGCACTCTGGGAGGCCAAGGCGGGCAAATTGCTTGAGGTCAGGAGTTCGAAACCAGCCTGAGCAAGAGTGAGACCCCGTCTCTACTATAAATAGAAATAAATTAATTAGCCAACTAATATATATAGAAAAAAATTAGCCGGGCATGGCGGCGCATGCTTGTAGTCCCAGCTACTCGGGAGGCTGAGGCAGGAGGATTGCTTGAGCCCAGGAGTTTGAGGTTGCTGTGAGCTAGGCTGATGCTACGGCACTCATCTAGCCTGTGCAACAAAGCGAGACTCTGTCTCAAAAAATAAATAAATAAATAACTCTTTCTAGTTCCTTGTTTTGTACTGTAATGAGATCAGCAGTGACCAAACGTGGAGGGCAGAACCCAATTTTTTGGGCAAGGATAGCAAGATCCTTCCAGTACAAAGCACCACCCAGGCACTCACCTAAGAAAAAAACAAACAAAAAAAAAAACCACAGGCCAATCAATACTTAATACAGCATTAAGAGAATTATTCTTCTATATCATTGATTAGGACATGGTATTAGTTAAAACATCAATCCTACAAACAGAAGCTGATCTGAGGTCTAGAAAGGCAAGGCTAAGCCTGGGTATGCTGGCTAATGGCGTCTGGTTACCATTCACAGGACAGTTACTAATGCGTTGGTTCTACCCAGCTATGATCATAATATTCATGTATATATTAGGTTACTTTCTGAAAAGTGCTATGTTTGTGAATAAAATAGTATAAAAGAGAAATTATAACATTGCCTCTTAGTTCCAGATTAATCTAATGATCTGCTACCAGAACAATAACTACTACTAATGTTGCTAAGGCATTTCACAGTTTTTTTCAAGTACAAAAATGGTCATAGAAGTTTTATTTATTACATCAGTAAATGGGAAACAACCTAAATGATCACCAATAGGGAAATGGTTGCAGCATGGTATTGCTGTACAACACAATTATATAATACAAACATATTTAAAATGTTTTTTTTAAATTTTAGGCTAAATAAAATTAGAATACTAAGTTCTAGATATGGCATGCTCCCAATTTTATTATACACATACACAGAAAAAAAAATAAACTAGAAGAATACTTACTAAAATATTAAAGAGGTTATCACTGGATTTTATATGATTTTAAGTATAATTTTTTTAAGAGATGAGGTCTCACTATGTTGCCCAGGCTGGACTCAAACTCCTGGGCTCAAGAGATCCTCCCGCCTCAGCCTCCAGAGTATCTGGGACTACAGATGTGCACCACTGCGGCCAGCTCAGTAATTTTTTTTTTTTTTTTTGGAAGGTAGTTTAAGCTGTGAAAGCTCAGTAATTTTTTAAATTTTTTTCTTTTTTGTGTGTTTGCCAACTTTTAACAATGTCCACTTATTATTGTATAGTAAGAAAAAGCTAACATAATTATTTGAAAAGAACTTTTTTTTTTTTTTTTGAGACAGAGTCTCGCTTTGTTGCCCAGGCTAGAGTGAGTGCCGTGGCGTCAGCCTAGCTCACAGCAACCTCAAACTCCTGGCTCAAGCAATCCTCCTGCCTCAGCCTCCCAAGTAGCTGGGACTACAGGCATTCGCCACCATGCCCGGCTAATTTTTTTTTTTTGTATATATTAGTTGGCCAATTAATTTCTTTCTATTTATAGTAGAGACGGGGTCTCGCTCTTGCTCAGGCTGGTTTCGAACTCCTGACCTTGAGCAATCCGCCCGCCTCGGCCTCCCAGAGAGCTAGGATTACAGGCGTGAGCCACCGCGCCCGGCCTGAAAAGAACTTTTGATTTCATAGTCAGACTGACCAAAAGCATGCATTTATCTCCTTAACTTCGTGAGACTCCATTTAAATGACAATGAAGGAATAAACAACACAATAATGATGAGAACATAAGGGGGTTAAGAGAGCACCAGCTCTGGAACAGTTGCCCTCATTTCCACACTACAGTTTTCAAACTGTTTCTCACATTCATCATCACATTTAATCTTCATAACAGCCCTTTACAAATTGTATTATTATTTACATTTTACAGTTTGGAAAAGAATAACTCAAAGAGATTCGTTAAATCGTCCAAGGTCACACCGCTTTTGGTGGCAGAGAAAGCATGGAACATTTCCACTTTCTGGCCTAATCCCATGTGATGGCACGTCACATAGCCTCATCCTAACTAGCAGCATGGAGTTCTGCCCGAGAACAAGCATCTGCCTTAAAACAAAACAAAACAAACAAAAAGAACACCTACCCCACAAAACTTTGTGTGTCCTCATTTCTTCTGGCAATTCAAGGCTAGCACAGACGTCACTGAAATATAGCTCCCCACCACACTGAAACAGCCATGTTAGTCCCAACAAGGTTAAAGATTACATTGGCCCAAATTACAAAGAAAAGGATGAAGAAACGAAATCAATTTTAAAAACCAACAGAAATGTTTGAGCTGACACTTTGTGAACAAATAACAATCAATACCCAAGTGCCAAGGTTTCTTTTTCCCAATGGCCTATCCGACAGGTAATAAAATCACTTTCTAAGAATGTCTCTCTCCTAACTAAAGATACTCAGGCTACCTAAATTTTTAGCCAACATGAACCAAAAGGATTTCCAGGTTGATATAAACAGTATTCATAAACTCTTACTTCTTAAAAATAATATAAGTTTTTGTGATGTTATTCACTTTCATAACACATCATATTTTAAAAATACTGTCTTTAAAATGTAAAGCAAATGAGTGATCAGAAACTTCAAATTTTATTTAGCTAATTTCAAAAGGCTGGAGAACTAGATTCTATAATAATATTTCTATCTTTTATATCTTGGGAAAGATAGTGAACTGTCCTATAAATTGGCATACTAACAAGGATATTATTAAATTATTCTTATATAGTTATTTTTATTTGAACTTTACTACAGCCAAAATGTCAGAATTGTTTGTTTGTTTGTCCCAGGCTGGAGGCAAACTCCTCAGCTCAAGCGATCCTCCTGCCTCTGCCTCCTGAGTAGCTGGAACAACAGGCACACATGCCACTTGCCCAGCTAAAGTCTCCTATCTTCCATCATGAAAACACACATCTCATGATACACATAAAGGCTATAGAATTCCTGCAAGTTTTCCTTTCAGAAAATAATTAATGTAAAGCTGGGCACAGTGGCTCACACCTGAAATCCTAGTACTTTGGGAAGCTGAGGCAGAAGGATTACTTGAGGCCAGGAGTTTGAGACCAGCTTGAGCAACATAGAGAGACCCTGTCTCTACAAAAAAAAAAAAATTATCCAGGTGTGGAGGTGCACACCTGTAGTCTCAGCTACTCTGGAGGCTAAGGCAGGAGAATCACTTGAGCCCAGGAGTTTAAGGCTGCAGTGAGCTATGATGATACCACTGTACTCCAAGCTAAGCAACAGAGTGAGACCTTGTCTCAAAAAAAAAAAAAAAAAAGGAAATTAATGTAAAAGTTCTATCTACTGTAACTGCCCAAAAATCTGAAATCATGACAGATAAGAAATAAGTAGCACTCAGAGAAACTAGAAGTGCTAGAAGAGAATATATTCTTTTTTTTTTTTTTTTTGAGACAGAGTCTTACTCTGTTACTCAGGCTAGAGTGCTGTGGCGTAAGCCTAGCTCATAGCAACCTCAAACTCCTGGGCTCAAGAGTCATTTGCTTCAGCCTCCCGAGTAGCTGGGACTGTAGGCATGTGCTACCATGCCCCGCTAATTTTTTTCTATATATTTTTAGTTGGCCAATTAAGTTCTTTCTATTTTTAGTAGAGATGGGGGTCTCACTCTTGCTCAGGCTGGTTTCGAACTCCTGACCTTGAGCGATCTACCCACCTGGGCCTCCCAGAGTGCTAGATTACAGGCATGAGCCACCGTGCCGGCCTACATCCATATTTATAAAAAAGAATCACCTAACTTTTCTTACATCATCTTGCTTTTTATTTTTTAAAATAAAAATTACATTTATTTCATCAAAAGAATTAGCATCTTACTATCATTTTCTTTATCCTGGGAGTATATGAAAATGATTTGTTCTGTGACACTCTAGAAAAGTCTAAGGAAACCTATCACAAGCAAACACTATTTTAATTGCTTATTCTTTGACAATATATGAATTATTTCTCATAACCAATTTGGACATATTTTCTTTTAAATGCCAGTTTTATACATCTTTATAAGGAACCAGACATTTTCATATTAATCAAATTTTCAGCAGCAAGCTGAAAGACAATGCTTTTCAAATCTAATTGATTTATATATCTCGTACTCAATTATTAATTTAGTGATTTGTTCTTTTATGGTTGAACTGACATTTTACCAATTTTATCTATAAGAACTATTTAATGGTTTTTATATCTTTTCTAATTTTTGTTATTCATGCTTAGTTTTATTATTTCTATTTTTATTTCTTTTATTTTCATTCTAAAATCTAACCATAAAGCCCTTTAAAAAAAAAAACAAAAACCTAAAAGAGCAGAAGATATTAGAAAAATAATTTTAAGAAAAATTAAATTATATATTTTAAAATTAAAAAAAAAAACATTTGTTGCCACTCTTTTTTTTTTTTTTTAATTATTTTTTTTTATTTTGGCATATTATGGGGGTACAGATTTTAAGGTTTCAATAAATGCCCATTTCCCCGCCTCCCCCTGTTGCCACTCTTATCCCTAATACAGAGATTAAAAGCATGATTATTTTCTTCTAGTACTGCTTTGGTATCATCACGTACATGGACTTTGCATGGAATTTGAATTTTCATTATTTTAAAAATATTATCCTCTACAATCTAGATGTTACTTAATATTTTTTGTTTCCATATTTTTTTTTTTTTTTTGGGGATATCCCTCCAGCTCAAGCAGATCCCCTGCCTCTGCCTCCTGAGTAGCTGGAACAACAGGCACACATGCCACTTGCCCAGCTAAAGTCTCCTATCTTCCATCATGAAAACACACATCTCATGATACACATAAAGGCTATAGAATTCCTGCAAGTTTTCCTTTCAGAAAATAATTAATGTAAAGCTGGGCACAGTGGCTCACACCTGAAATCCTAGTACTTTGGGAAGCTGAGGCAGAAGGATTACTTGAGGCCAGGAGTTTGAGACCAGCTTGAGCAACATAGAGAGACCCTGTCTCTACAAAAAAAAAAAATTATCCAGGGTGGAGGTGCACACCTGTAGTCTCAGCTACTCTGGAGGCTGAGGCAGGAGAATCACTTGAGCCCAGGAGTTTAAGGCTGCAGTGAGCTATGATGATACCACTGTACTCCAACCTAAGCAACAGAGTGAGACCCTTTGTA